TTTGGCGTATACGTCGACGGTTGTCCCTATCTTTCATTTGGAACTGGCTTCACAATATAACTGTCAACTTTCCTGCAGTGTTTGTGAGCGGGTGTGAACAGGATCGGGCGTGAATGAAGTCAGCCACATTTATCGAAACCTTACCATTTTTCAGCTTTTGGACTATCAAAATAAGCGAGTTGACTTATCGTAAAGAGGAATATGTGACCACCGGTTTGAAGATTGGGTCATTAATTTACGCTGCAGTATCGTCCAACACGATTTTGTGGTTACGGACTGTTCGTGGTATCCTTAAACTTTGAACGGCAGTTCGATGTATACACATATCCCCTACGTTTGCATATAAAGTTTAGGACATCTACTCAATCTAAAGAAGCGTAACATAGTACAATGAATACCACAATTTTTCCGAGCAACATCAATCGTCTTTTTCTTCGACGAGGGGCAAGTTTTCTTGGGACGACTTGTTAAGTGTCTACCTGGTCAGGAATCACTAGCAGCAGTGGCCTTTGAAGCCAGTGAACCAAAAAGACGTGTCCCTTCTCTATGTTCGTCCGCCATGGATGCTCTTTACGGGTTACGCTGTAACTCCGTCGCAATTTATGCTTCTTGAAATGTATTTGAAATGATCACAGCGCATTTTAGTCCCGCTTAGTGCGGGTTAGCTAGAACATTTAGACCACGCACATTGATTCCACGTTCCAAAGTAAATCACATGACTTACTGCAACGCTTACAGTCAAAGCAACCATTCCTTTGTGCGGCTAAGTATCGTGAATGCACATCGGAGGTATTCAATCGAGCTAACCTTAGTGAGCCACAGCTTAAGAGAAATCAGTATGTTGAGCAGGTTTCGCGGTCCCTGACTCGAAGAAAGGCCTCCGTTTGGGGACAGCAGGTCTGAAGTTGGTACACCTCGCCATACATCAGTGCAACGGTGGGCTTCCAGGAGTGCAGTGAATTATATCGGAAGCTAATGCTGAGTGATTCAAAGTTATGTAATAACTGAAAATAATCATATTCGGATGCTTAATTATAGCAGTGGACACTTTTGGCGGTAAAATGAACAACAATAAAGCATCGGCGTTCATCGTTTTCAGTACGATCCAAGCTTTCTCAAACATCCGGAACCGGCGTTTACGAAAGCTTGCACCACCCAACAGAAAGTTTGAACATTCTCCAAAGTAAACAGCTGAAATCGGAATTAACCGAGCGAATCAAAGGCGGCAGACAGTAAGGCGTGCCGGCTAGCACCAGTTACCATCGGTGCGCTCCTTGGTTATGTACCGACACAATACACATGTTTAAAACCCTAACAAACTGACGTATCCCTTAGAAGTGTGCTCAAGTGTGGTGTGTCCAGCTGAAAAATATGGGCGGACTTTAGTTGATACTTTTCTGAAACATATATGCTAATCCGTTCCCAAATACCCATTGATTTATATATATTGTATATATTGTATATGGAAGTGCATGGTCTGTCGATTCTGTTGAGGGATGTAACAGCCGGATTAACGACTGGACTGTGAAGTTAATTCCGACAAGTAAAGTCTACCGATAGAAGGTAACCCCTCATTCAGTTCACTTGAAGTCTTCCACTGAATCACCGAAATAGCGTCAACGGTCACTGGATCAATACTACAAGATATCCGGGTATTCGTTCTTTTCTACTGACTCCAAGACACGCTATTCTGAAGCTTTCTAGCTGACCACGATGCCAAACTCGCTTCCGATTGCCAGACAATAAGCAATGGTCCCCTCCCCCACGGGAGAACACCATCTGATTAGAACCATCAAACTCCATTAACGTGAAATCCGGCTTGATGGTGGTGACCTACGGGAGATTACTCCCCAACTTTCAACGGAGACTACTTTCGGTGACCCCAAGGGACGGTTTCCTCTCCCAACAAAAGCAAGGATGGGAAAATCATGTTTTGGATTTCTTTACATTAAAACATCAAGTGCGCATATGACTGACTGCATTACATAAGTTTTTTCCCAACGTAACTGAGGCTTCCAAACACGATTTTCAGCTACATGGGCCTTCACAATCCAGTGATTACAAAGACAGGTTACTGTCCTGAAGAGAGCACAGCAGCACATCTCGTCATTCATGACTAAGTAGATGAAAAAAGGTAACTATGCGCATACCAACGAAAAGCGGAACCAAACATGAGGAATGCCAGACACCGAAGAACTAAACCATAACCCGTGAGTTCCATTCATAGGGAAATTTCTGAATTTCCGCTTGCTCCAGTGGTAGTGGAAATTCCCCAGATCATCGTCTCATCCAGCACAGTATAAGACGCCTTCGTCCTTCACTTTGCATACAACACGTGGACACTAGGATCATAAAAAACAATGATATGAGTGGTCTCACTTTGTTACTCTCGAGAATAATCACTCCGGAAGTTATCCTCCTAAGAACAAAACATTCATCTGTGAAACCACATTTTAGTTTGCAATCCCCCGTAGAAAAGACCGACCTCTCGAGAATCGCACCACATCGTTCTAAAATATCAGCCCACATACGCAAGCTTCAAAGTAGTTGTTTAGGTAAGATAGAATTGCATAATTCACTCTGCTGTCCGCGAGATTAACCTTGGGACTGATACATTCCGAAGTACTATTACCCAGGAAGGACCACATTTAGCGAAGCAAAGTACCACCCCAACAAAGAACAAGATGCGAAATATTATTAAGACCTGGGTATTTTGGTGCCAATGAGGTATCTCATCAATGACACGAATACAGAATTCATCTTCTTATGGGATTGGGAGTTTCACACAGTTGCCACAATTACCTCGACTGTGAGTAGCGCTTTTCAGACAAGAACACTCATGGCTGTTTTTCGGGAGTTCTCAGAAGAGTCAGGTTATTTCAAGAAGGGTCCTGGAGAAGTGGAGTCTTTTGTAATTAATATGGTAGGAGTCATACAACTCCATCAATTGCCCATAATCACTTTTACCCTGTTTATGATTTACCAGATAGCTGTAGTTTCTTGTTGGTTTGCTAATGTAGATGGCCAACTTTGACGACAGATGGGTTCGGAGGGTGTCAAGCTGAACCGGGTTTTGTGGCCTTCTTCTTCCGATTTAGGGCACTTTAGTTACACACTTTCCTTTCTGTTCACGAAGTTCTGTTCTGAGTTGGAAGGTGCTACAACAATTAGACCGGTATCGTGGGCCTAGTAGACCACACTCTGCTTGTTTTTGTACTTTCGATCCAGACTATCGCAATATATCGCCTCAGGACAACCTGACTGATCCAAAATAACTTCCTGCACGTTTGTCAGTTATATACCTTCTATTCGATTCAGGCTGCTTGATGATTCCCACCGTGGTGCGAACCAGGCCTCTGAATATCGACTTCTGTTTAGGCTTGAACAAGTTGGCAGTGTCCCAGCCTTCGTGCTATGCAACGAAAGGGCACTGCAACTAAACTGTTTTTCCCCAATGTCTCAGCTACCAGCCATTGTGGCACGAATCTTAGTCCTCATCCCAAGACCATCATTTTTCAAATCTATTCGGTGTTCAGTGCTTGCTCCACCATCAACGAGTTTTCAACCATCGCCTTTCATAGTGGTGGTTTGGGTTGACTGGTTCTTTAGCGAAACTACCGGGCTGATTGACCCACGTAAGCTTTCGTGCGCTTGTTAAAATTTCTTACATCAAGTCTGTAGGGGCAATTAAGAGGGATACTGGCATCAAAACAAAAACACTAAAAAGAGTGGGTCGCAAAATCAGTCGTCCCACACAAAATAGGAAGGCGTGAAGTCATCATAAAGAAAAATCCGCTTGATCATCCAAGGCGCGGACCAGTTTCCTTGCATTCCCTAACTCGGAGAAACAAAACCCGTGAAGGACATCCAAGAATATTCCGCTAAGGTGCTCCAAACCGGAACAACAAGATCCCAAACCTTGCAGACAGGTGTTGCCCATCACTTCAAACAGCACATTATCAGCTGGAAAATCACTTCTTTGGAAGTAATGGCCAAATATTATGGGCTCCAACCCTGATAAGTTGAGTGATTAATAGGCTCCAAGTCAAAAAAGCAACTTTCCTTAAACGGCGATGTCGAATACAAAGTGGACATAACCGTTTGCTTCTCGCGCTTGCGATGGCTCATTCATCCACGCTCAATACACGCGGTGGCTTAATACATGAAGTATGTTCAGTCCTGTTTAGAAGTCTCCTTAGCACTTATGAGATAGAAGTTTGGAGCTGGGTGTACTAGACAAAAATACAGGGTTGCCTCCTTGGCGGAACACTACTAATAAACTTGCTGAAAAATCTTCGACAACCAACGACAGGTTCAGTCCTTGGGGACTCATCAAGTAGGAGCGTTTTCCAACTTTCAACTTCACATTCACTATAGCTGTAAACCTAAAAAGTCCAATGAACATTACATGGCACGTTTAAGTACGGTCACAGCGGTTATGACACACCGCATAGCAGCTGTCAAATAGTAGTTCACCGAAGATGAACTAGCGAAATTACAAAAACGCGTTTGCTGAAAATGGGCTACTAGTGTAAAGATTGCTTATGGCTCTCCACGGGGGGTCTATGCTGGGCCGCATTTCTGCACCTCACAGGTGCCGATGGTGTCGGCCTTCTGAATCAACTCTTGAGGTCGGGTGAGATCCAGCTCCGGAGTGTAGGTAGCGTAACTCAGGCCCAGCTAGCCACACTTGGTAGCAGTGGTAATTGCTTGAGACTGTACATCAACACAATGTCTGTATATATGTGCCGCCCAAATGACTGCAGTTTCTCGTACTCGAGCTTCCTGTTGGATAGTGCATCGGGGCGGAGTAGCTATCCACCGTTCTTATTAATGAAGCCTCCCAAAGCCGGTGCAGCGAATGCGATACTACCCAGAAACAGGTTTTATTTGTGGTTACCGAAACCATTAGGTATTCCGGCGAGGAATGCAACGTGTGGCTCTTTACAAACAAACTCGATTCAGAAAGGCCATACAAGAATAGTAATCAAAAAAATCATTTATTCCATTTCAACATCCTCTTCCTCCAGGCTCGCATAGGAGCTTTCGCTCTGCTCTTCCTCACTTTCGGAAGCTTGGCAAACCACCTGTTGCTGACACTTGCTCATATCACAGCCCGTTGGAAGTGACTCAAGTTTCTCCTGGAGTTCAGTCAAATTGTTGGCTTTCAAAAGGGACATTCCATGGAATAGAAGTTTTGCAACTTGTTGGATGGATTCGTCTTCACATATTGTGTTTAGTTCATCATCAAAATAATCTTCGATTAACTCTTCGAGTAGGCACTCATCCTTTACTCTTCTCACAATATCCGGCATACACTCAATAAGCGAGTCGAGTTTCTGATCGGTTAACCTTCCGGCTGGACACTGCTCACGACAAAGTCTTGCGACCGTCCACGCGTCAAAAATTTTTGAGACGTATTTTTTAAACAGCTGGTCACCACTCATCAGGCTAGGGCAATGAATAAGCGAATTATTCACTCGTAGGACAGTTTTGGAGAGATGGCAATAAAGGCTGAAAGCAAAGACGAGGGACAGGCATCAGCACAGGAAAAATACAGGAAAACCCACACCCTGTGAGTGTGCTCTCAAAATTCTTAGCAGTCCAACCACTGGTTAGTTAGTCAGGTTTCAAGAACTTATCAACTTCCCTGATATACGGAATCTTTTCCTTAGAGGGACGAGTTAGCTCCAGGCCTAGCGGGAATAGTAGGTGCCCATGGATGACCAAGTGGTAATGACCCTCGAAGAAGTATTGCTGTGCGCCATAAAAACTGACACATAAACGTTCACGCACACCATCATGCTACCAAACGCTAAACTTACCTCAAAATCCTAATGTATCCGAATGTACGATGGGGATGCAGAAAAATAGCTTCGCAAAATTCGAGTCTGACTACGGTCAAGCCTGGCAAAAGTTGCCCTGGTTTTCGCGATTCGAGAAATCATCTCACCTACAGCATTTCCACAGGTACTTATACGAGTGCCCAGATAAACAAATGCATCTACCACGTCGATTGGCCGGTCTGCAAGCATGAGGTTTGGGTTTGATTCCACCCAGTCTTGCAGCAGCGATAAACATCTTTCAGATGTGAAGCGCATGCTGAACGGCGCCGTCATTTGAACTGATTCGCATTTCTGAAGGATCTGAACGCAAGAGAACAATATCGTCATCATCATCATCATCATCAAAGACAGCAACATCAGTGTTGGCACTGATGCTTCACTGCCGTACAACCATAAGGTTCGTCTAGTTATATATATATCCGAATGTACGATGGGGATGCAGAAAAATAGCTTCGCAAAATTCGAGTCTGACTACGGTCAAGCCTGGCAAAAGTTGCCCTGGTTTTCGCGATTCGAGAAATCATCTCACCTACAGCATTTCCACAGGTACTTATACGAGTGCCCAGATAAACAAATGCATCTACCACGTCGATTGGCCGGTCTGCAAGCATGAGGTTTGGGTTTGATTCCCACCCAGTCTGCAGCAGCGATAAACATCTTTCAGATGTGAAGCGCATGCTGAACGGCGCCGTCATTTGAACTGATTCGCATTTCTGAAGGATCTGAACGCAAGAGAACAATATCGTCATCATCATCAT